ACACAGCATCTGTACACACACACACACACACACACACACACACACACGCGCGTGCGCACATATGCACGCACATGCACACGTACATGTGCGCACACCCATACTCAGTGTAGATGACTTTGCATACCGTTGTGATTCACAATGCCCCAATGTGGAAACAATTCAAATATCATCGGGTGATAAACAAAGACAACCACAGAAAGACCTGTGAATCCATGTGGTTCCAAGAATGTGAGAGAGGTGTGGTGGTAAGAAGAGTCAGAGAAGACTTGTGGGAGAGAGTGAACAGCACAGATGGCTTGATTTGGAAAGCAGAAGGCAGAGCATTATGGAGTCAAGCCAATAAGTAGCATCTCCAAGAAAGGAAATAGCAATGCCTTGGAGGCAGGAAAATGTGATGAAGATGACCAGGTGACCACAGTAGATAGACTACAAGATAGTTGTCAACCCAGGACTGAGACACAACAGGAGAATTTGATTGACAGCAGGTTCTAGGTTCACCATCCTCCTGCCTTGCAACAGAAAAGTGGATGTGAGTTCTGTTGGCTTGACTTTCTCAACATTGTATTAATTTGCTCTCCACTGTGACCCAAACATTCCATAAACATCTTAATGGAGGAAAGATTTATTTTGGCTCATGGTTTCAGATGGCCTCCGTCCCTCATGGTGGAGCAGCTCACATCCTGGGAGAGGATGTGTGTAGAGGTAGAGACTGTTTACATCATGTTGGACCAGGACCAAGGATTTGCTCCCAGTGACCTACTCACTTCCTTTAGCAATGCTCTACCTCCTAAAGGCTCTACAACCTTCAAAAATAGCACCACCAACTGGGGAACAGACATTCAAAACATGAGCCTATGAGGGTCTTTTTCTTCAATATTTTTTTCAACAACCATGGTCTTTCAGACTTCACAGAGCCCTCATGAAAGAGGTCAGGTATTGGCCATTTAATCAGTCCAGTAGAGCCCTGTATATTGGTATGAAAATCCCACCAAGGACCCCCTGCTTAGTTAGCTTTAGCTGCCAATTTGACATAGCCTAGAGTTATCTGAGAGGGGAGTCTCAATGGAGGTGTTGTCCATATCAGACTGGCCAGTGGGCATGTCTTAATTGTGAATTGATATAGGAGGATCCAGTCCACTGTGGGCAGCACCATTCCCTAGGCAGGTGGTCCTGTGCTGTATAAGAAAGCTAGCTGAGCATGAGCCTGAGAGTGAGCCAGCAAGCAGCATCCCCCATGGTTTCTGCTTCAAGTTCCTGCTTGAGTTCCTGCCCTGACTTCCCCTCAGTGATGGACTGTGACCTGGAAGTATAAACCAAATAAACCCATTCCTCCCTTAAGTTGCTTTTGGTCAGGGAGTTTTATCACAGCAACAAGAAGAAAACTAGGACACGCCCCCCAAACTTCCCCTGCCCACTCTGGTGCCCACATGGCTTGGGCTGGTCATAGCATTGTGGGTCTGGTTGTTTTCCTACCCTAACAGACCTTAGAAGGAACCTCTGACTCCCAGCAGCATTAAGCGTTGCTCTTTGAACATCTGGGTCACAGATATGCTCAGTTAATTAATGTTCTTAGCACCGCTCATTTGCCTGCTGGATAATAGACTGATTCATAACTTCAATAAGCAGCTGTGTATATCTTTCCCATGAACATAAAGGCAGCCTGCTGTCATTCATCAATTTGCCTTGGATGAATTTAAATATATTCAGGGAAACATTGTTTAGGGAGGGAAAAGGAGGACTTTTGATTTTCTAACCATTTTGCCTTGAACAATTACTCTGATTTGGAACTAATTTGGGTGTAGAGCACACGTTCACTGTGTCTCTCTCAATGACACTTAATAAGCTCACTATCATTTCTTCAAGGGGAGCAGGAAGGCTCCCTTTGGGGATCAGAGCCAAGAGTTTCTGAGTAGCTTTCACCTACAGATGAGGACCCTTTCAGAAAATCTTATCCACCAGACAAGAGTCACTCATGTTTCTGAGCAGAGCTTCCTAGTGTGTATCAGTGACTTTGTTCATTACTGTGATGAAATACCTGACAGAAAGGACTTAAGAAAGGAAGGGTTTACTGTGGCTCACAGTTTGAGGCACAGTCCATCATGGTGGGAAGGCATGGTGGCAGGAGTGTGAGGCAGCTGGTCACATTGTGTTCACAGTCAGGAAGCAGAGAGAGATGAACGCTGGTGCTCAGCTCACTTTCTCTTTTTTATTCAGTCCAGGACCCCAGCCCAGGGATGTGCTGCCCACATTCAGGGTGGGTCTTCCCACCTCAGTTAACCTGACCTAGAAACTCCCTCACAGACATGCCCAGAGATTTGTATCCTCAGTGACTCTAGATTCTTCAAGTGGACAGTCAATATAAACCACCATGTCTAGCTACCTTCTCAGTAGATTCCTATGAAGTCTCCAGGATCTTTGGAAGATTCAGTGATTTCCCAACAGTCTACAGTGGGGCACCTCTGCTACTTAGCTTCTGGGCCAGAGATGCCACAGAGAGAAACCAGAACTCAGCCATGTGGCCAGATGTCTTTCTTCCTCTGTTTCCTCATCTGTCATCTTGGGACCCAAGCACTCACACGTGAGCCTTTTCAGGGGACACTTCAAAGCCAACTACAGGATGAGCCCAAGTCACAGAATCATTCAACCAACATGTAAGCTCACAGGCAGTAATAAGTTACATTTTTGTTATGCAGCACTTGATAACTGATACAGAAATGCTGTTTCTATGATGGACCCCTGTCATGGGAAAGGTTGTCAGGCTAGCAGTTAGCAAGTGCTGGGTAGTAGTAATAGAACCTGTTATTTCAGGTTTGTGAAAATTGCATTATTTATTCTCTATGCAATGCTTAGAGATGATGCAGTGTATGCCATTAGGCATAAGCTGTATGCCAGTGACTTGTACATAGGATTACATGAGCACCAGTGAGGAATCACACCTGCCTCTAACACTTTTTCCATCCTACTCTTCTGAGAACCATCTCAGCATCTTCTATCCCCAAAGACTGTCTTCAGGCTAGACTTACAGAGGAGCCCTCAAAACAAGCCTGTAGAGCTTAGCTTGGATTCACTTCTTTAAAAATTATTGTAAGGGTATGTATGCTATAGTGCATATGTGAAGGTCAGAGGATGATTCTGTGGAGTTGGTTCTCTCCTTCTTCCTTTACATGGGTTCCGGAAATCAAACTCAGGTCATGAGACTTGTGCAAGTGTCTTATCTGCTGAATCATCTCACCTCCCTGTCTGCGGACTTTAAAAATGCTGTCCATCATGTTCATAATATGCTCCTCCAAGGATATTCTAAGCATCTGAGGTCTGTGATTTGCTCCTAGCAAGAAATGGAATTAATTAGACACAGTTCCTGCCCCTCAGTCATTTGAAAAATGGGCGAAGGCATTTGTAAATTTTGAATGTGATGTTTAACTTCCCAGGAAATGGAGGCAGGGGAGGGAAGGACTCCCTAGTATGCAGCTCATCATTCACTGGAAGGGTTGCCAGGCAACAGCATCTCAGTATCAGTTAACAATTGCTACATAACAAAAATATGCATTTATTCATTTATTATTTTTCATGGATAGACAGGTGTGGTGGCTAATATTCATTGTCAGCTTGACGGGATCTAAAACTTTTGGGTATGTCTGTGAGGAAGTTTTTGGCGGCCCTGTCAAACTCAATCCTGGCTGAGCTACAGAGTGAGTTCAAGGGCAGCTTAGTGAGACCCTGTCTCAAAGTAAAATATAAAAGGAGCTGGGGATGTAGCTCAGTAGTGGAGTTCAATCTCTAGTCCTACAAAGGTAGAAAGGAAGGACGGGAGGGAGGAAGGAGAGGATGAAGGGAGGGAGGAAAGGAAGAAAGAAGGGAGGGAGAAAAATAGGAAAATGAGGGGAAGAAGGGAGGAAGGTAAGGAGGGAGGAATGGAGAGAAGGAGGGAGGGAGGGAGGAAAGGAGAGAGGGATGGAGGGAGGGAGGGAGGGGAGGGAAGGAAGGGACAGAGGGAGGAGGGAAGGAGGGAAGAAGGGAGGAAGGAAGGGAGAAAGGCATGGAGGGAGGGAAGGAGGAAGGGAGGGAAGGAGGGAGGGACAGATGGAGGGAGGGAAGGAGGGAAGAAGGGAGGAAGGGAGGGAGAAAGGCATGGAGGGAGGGAAGGAGGAAGGGAGGGAAGGAGGGAGGGATGGATGGAGGGAGGGACGGAGGGAGGGAGGGAGAGAGGGAGAGAGGGAGAGGGAGGAGGGATTGTGGCATGTCTGTGTCCAGGCTCCGCAAGCCTGGGGTCCTAGACAAGGGATGTCCAAGGAGTTGAGCATATGAAGAGACGAGTCAGGATCAAAATGGTGGCTCTATCCAGGCATGGTGGTCAATGCCTTTAGTCCAACACTGGAGAGGCAGAAGCAGGTGGATCTCTGTGAGATAGAGACCAGCCTGGTCTACATAGCAACTTCCAGGTTATGGATACAGGGAGACCCTATCTCAAATGAACAAACAAACAAAACAAACCAACAAAGATGGTGGCTCCACTGTGGACCTGGGAGAAGGCGGAAGTAAAGCTGTGGACACGAGCCACACCACCCCTGTGGCCTTATCCTCCCTCTTCCCTTCCTCCCCTCTTTCTCTACAGCTCGCCCGATATACCAAGGAAGGCTTCCTGCACTTGGGTGCTCTGGGGACCACCACCCTCCTCCCTGACACTCGCTGTCTGGTGGACAACTCCAAGAGCCGACTGCCGCAGCTCCTGGACTGTGACAAGATCAAGAGCAGCTTGTACAAGCGCTGGAATTTCATCCAGGTGAGCACTCCACAGAGAGGGATAGGCCGGGGGAAGCAGGTACAAGTGCTATGGGCTGTGGGAAAGGATGGGGTCCCCACGGCTTCCCCACACAGTACCAATTCTTGAAACCCTGGGCCAAGCAAGTGGAGCTGATTTCAGAGGATTGGAGGAAAGATTTCTGTGGGAGGCAGGCTGCCCAGGCTGGTTAGGATGAATCCACAGAGGAGAGTCCTACAATCTGCTAAGCACCCTCAGCCAGTGGGGCCGAGAAAGTCATATCTCAATCACCCCAGGAAATTTCTCTGTGTGTGCATGTGTGGGTACGGGCCTGTGCATGCATGCGTGTGCATGTAGCTTCACTTGTTCATACAAGTAGAGATCAAAGGTCAACTCTCAGGTACCACTTACTTAGGTTTTTTTTAAGATTCTTTCAATTATGGGGGGGCATGCACATATGTGTGCAGTACCCACAAAAGCCAAAGAGGACATTAGAGCCCCTGGATTGGGAGTTACTGATGGTTGTTAGCCACCATGTAGGTGCTGGGAACCGAACCCTGATCCTTTGCAAGAACAGCAAGTGATCTTAACCACTGAGTCATCTCTCCAGCCCCTCCTGCCCCTTGTTTGTTTGCTTTTTGAAACAGTGCCTCTCAGTGGCTTGGAACTTGCTAAATAGGCTAGGCTGGCTGGCCATTGAGCCCCAGGGACCCTCCTGTCTCTGCATCCCCAGCACTGGTATTACAAGTGTGTACCACAATGCTCCCTTTTTTATGTCAGTTCTTGGAATCAGACTCAGATCCTCATGCTTATTTGGCAATCACTTTGCCAGCTGAGTTCTCTCCAGCCCACTCCAGGAAATTTTTAAAATTTTTTTATTACATTTTTAGTGTGTACATGTGTGTGTATGAGTGCATGTATGTGCTTACAAGAGTCAGTTCTCTCCATCCACCATGTGGGGCCTGGGGAATCAAACTCAGTCATCAGGTTTGGCAGAAAGTACCTTTGCCCACTGAACCATCTCATTGGCCCAACCCCAGGAAATTTCTATCCTGCCTCAGTCACCACCAATTCTCATACCTGGTACAGCCACTCAAACTTGGTGGTTCCTGGGGTCCCTTCCACTTCGGGAGAATGCTAGTGGGATTGGTTCCCCCAGGAGAAGCAAGTGTAGGAGCTGTGGAGAAGTCTCTGTCTGCCTCTGTACTTCCTCTCCTCCCAGAATGGAGCCATCATGAATAAGGGCACAGGGCGCTGCCTGGAGGTGGAGAACCGGGGCCTGGCTGGCATTGATCTCGTCCTCCGAAGCTGTACAGGACAGAGGTGGACAATCAAGAACTCCATCAAGTAGCTGGAAGGAACTGGGGCAAGCAGAGCCCAGCCTCAGGACCAGCCACACGGGGGAGAGACAGCAGGGGCCCAGCCGGTGCTCGGTGGACCTCCCAGGGCTCCTCCAGGGCAGCCCCAGATAAAAACTAAGCTCCCTTCGGGTATCCAGCTGCCCTGAGGCTCTGCACTTTGGAAATCTCCCCACTCTCTTCGCTGGGAGCTGCATCTTCCGGGTACCAAGGAGTGAGCCTGTCCACATCTCTCCACCCATCATAACCTACTCTAGCATCAGCCACTGGGCCTGGCAGAGTCCTCTTCCTCCTCTCTCATCCTTTGCAGCAGCCGCTTATTAAACTTACCCTGCTCTCCAAGAAGTAGGGAGGTACTGGGGTCTTCAGCCATAATCTAGCTACCCTTAAAAGAAGGAGGAGGCAGCGAGACCCCAAGATTCACAGAGAAAATCTCTGCCCAGCTGCTGGTTCATATGCAAGGCAGCAGCCACTCCTCTGACCCGCCCATGGGGATTTGGGGGAATTACAGCTCTGGACTTTTCTGGATTCTTCGTGAAGCTCCCTCACAGTCCCCTGGGAACATCACCCACCTGTGTCTGGAGGGAGCCAGAATCAACAGAGCAGGCAGAGAGGGAGCAGCAGCAAAGGCCTGAATGAAGAGGCCAGCCCGGCAAAGAGCACAGGGACCTCCAGGATGCTCAGCTCAGCTCCGTTCCTTTCACCCCATACTCTGCTGGCTCACTGCGGGGACAGAAGCAGTGGTTTCCTCTCTTCGGAGTCATTGCTTCTTTCTGGTTGCCCTCTGGTTAGGGTGCACTTATAAATCAGAGTTAATATATGGGTGTGTGTGCATGCATGGGGAAGCAAGCTTGCGCTTGTCTGGGTGATGCGTATGGCGAGGTGTGTGCTGGTTTGTGTGAGTGTAATCCCGTGCTAGAGCAGAATTAGCTGTGTGGTTTGGACTTGTGGCTTTATTGATCACCAAACGGGATGGGGGCACTAAGACACTAAGAAGAATGGGGGGGGTGGCCCCATGTCACTGGCTCACTGGCCCAGAGGACATGGCTCTGTCTTGCGTGCTGGGGTACCCCTTCTCCTTCCCCCGTCCCCACTGCTGTTCTTGGCCTACAGCTGCCCAGGGCCAAACGCAGCAGCTGTCCTGAAGGGCCCAGGGAGCCTCATTTGGTGACTGCCCCATCCGCATATCTCCCATATTGTGAAATAAATGTTAGCAGTTCCACAGCCAGCCTCCAGCTTCTTTTGCTTTGGGATTTTTCTAGTGTTTTTGTTGCTGTGATTTTGTGGTTCGGGCTTAAGCCCCAGCGACTTACATTTACTGCACAACACTCTACACTGAGCTACAATCCTTGGCAAAGAAATGTTTTTGATTCTTCCAGCACCAACCAGGAGGGGAATTCCTGAGAGGGTGGAGGGCTCCTTTGATTAAGGGGTGGTTGGGGATTTTTTGTTTGTTTGATTGGTTGGTTGGTTTTGTTTTCAGACAGTCACAGCGTATAGCTCAGGCTGGCCTCAAACTCACAGCAGTCCTTCTGCCTCAGCCTCCCAAGTGCTGAGATTACAGTACAAGCCATTGCGCTAGTTTCATTCCTGTTGCTGTGATTAAAACATCCTGACCAAGAGCAGCTTAGGGTACAAAGAGTTTGTTTTAACTCACAGTTCCAGGTTACAGCCCATCACTGTGGAGAAGTCAGGGCAGCTTGAAGCAGCTGGTCTCGTCACATCCACATTCAGGATCAGAGAGAGATGAACACCTGTGTGCCCACTGCTTGCCTGTGCTTGACTCCATTTAGCCTCTTTTATACAGTTCAGAATCCCTGCTAGGGAATGGTGCCACCACAGTGGGGTGTGACTTCCCACAATAATATACTTAATTTCAAGACAACCCCCCCTGCTAGACGTGCCCACAGGCCAACGCAATGTAGAGAATCTCTCACTGAGACTCTTCCCAGGTGATTCTAGGTTGTGTCAAGCTGACCCTTGAAGCTAACCATCACAACCACCATGACTGACTGGGTTTGTTCTTATTAAGGGCAAATAAATAAGTAAACCTTCACAGATTAAAGCTGAGTCAAAGCTGACCCATTCTTACACTTTCCCTTCAAACCTGGACAGAACTTGAGCAGCTCTACTCTCTCCCCATACTCAGTCCCCCTTCTAGGCTTGGGCCCAGGCCCACGCTTGCTCTTTCCACCCCAGACCTCTGGACTATCCTCTTAGTACAAACCTGCCCACTGTGTCCTGATCCCTTGTGCTCAGACCAGCTAAATTCTCCAGCTTAGTTTGTTAGACCCTCCACAGGCTATCCCTACACCCAGCTCGCCCCTGGCTTCCTGATCTGCCTGCCACAGACCTGCCTACCACCCTGGTAAGTCAGATCCCGCCCACTGTGGTTTGATTCCCCTGCAGCCTGAATAGCTCCACTCTCTCCTTGCATTCAGCCCACTTCTAGCCTTGGGCTTAAGCATCCTCCTGCTCTTTCTGCCCCAGATCTCTGAAAAACTCAGGAACCTGAAGGACACACCAACTAACTTTTCACACCTGAGCAAAAAGTAACCAAGCTACATCAACAATATAAACAGGACCAAATTTCAACTAAACAAAGGCAGACTAGAATTTCCTATCAGACACACAATTGACAAAAGACATCCATATGCAAATAGCAACTCAAAGACACAAATAATATAAAAAAAAAAAACAAGAAAATATGTCGCCAACTCTATAGAAGTATACTGCAATAAGAATCACCATGAGGAACCCCAAGAGAGAGAGTTTAAAATAACAATCATAAACATGGTCAAAGAAGTTAACACACAACTCAAAGAGGATAGGCATAGCTCAAGAAAATACAAATATGCAGCTAAATGAAATAACAGAAATATTTCAGAACTTGAAAAGTGAATTCACAAAAGAGATAGAAATGTTGAAGAAAACCCAAGCCAAAATGCAGATGAAATTGAAAAGCTCAGTCAATTTGAAACAACAGGAGGAAGCCTCACAAACAGAATGAAAGAAGAGGAAAAGACACTATCAAGACAGAACAACAAAGTGGAAGAAATGGACTCCTCAAGCACAGGCTACAAAAAATTCAAAAGCACACAGGAATGGACTACACAGGAAATGTGGGACACCACGAAAAAAACAAATCTAACCACGTATAATTGACTTAATACTGCAACTCAAGACTCTATAAGGGCAAGAACAAAACAAACCCAAACCTAGTAGATGAGAAGAAATAACAAAAAATAGAAAAGAAACTGATGAAATAAAAACAAAGAAAACAATACAAAGAGTCAGTGAATCTAAGAGCTAGCTCTTTGAAAACTTAAACAAGATCGACAGATCCTTAGTCCAATTAACCAAAAGAAAGAAAGAGCAAGTCCAAATTAACAAAATCAGAAATGAAAAGGGAAACATCACGATAGACGCCCCCCCCAAAATCCAGAACATTATAAGGGAATACCTTAAAAACATATACTCTATTAAATTTGACAATCTAAAGGAAATGAATTTCTAAATTCATGGAAACCACCAAAGTTAAATCAAGAAGAGATCAACAGCTTAAATAGGTCCATTAAAAACATAAGAATATTGAAACAGCAGTACAAAATTTCCCAACTAAAAAAAAAAAAATCCCAGGCCCATGGATTCACAGGAGAACTCTACCAGACATTCAAAGAAGATCTAAAATCAATACTTCTTAAATTATTCAAAAAGATAGAGAGAGAACTCCCAAACTCCTTCTATGAAGCCAGTATCACTCTAATATCAAAACCAGGTAAAAACACAACAAAAAAGAAAACTATAGACCCATATCTTTAATGAACATAGACACAAAAATTCCAAACAAAATACTCACAAACTGCATACAGACACATATTAAAAAGATCATCCATCATGATCAAGTTGACTTTATTCCAGAGATACAGTTAATAAATATAATAAATCATATAAATGGGCTTAAAGACAAAAACCACAAGTTACCTCAATATTGGATGCAGAAAAGGCCTTTGACAAAATCCAACATGCTTTCATGCTAAAAATCCTAGATGAAATTGGACTGAAAGGAACATACCTCAATATAATTAAAGCTATATACAACAAATCCACAAACAACATCATTCTAAATGGAGAAAAACTGGAAGCATTCCCATTAAAATCATGACCTAGGCAAGGCTGTCCACTATCTCCACTTCTTTTCAATATAGTGATTGACACTCTTGCTAGAGCAATAAAACAAGAGAAGGAAATTGGGGAGTACTAATTGGAAAAGAAGAGATCAAATTTTCACTATTTGCAGATGATATGATATTATATGTGAGAGATCCCAAAAATTCCATCAGAAAACTGCTAGAAATTATTGATATTTTCAGCAAAGTCATGGGTTACAAAATAAACTTTAAAAATCAGTTCCAATAACAAGCAATCAGAGAAAGAATACACAACAGCCTCAAAAAAATTTAAAATATCTAGGAATAAACCTAACCAAAGGCATTAAAGATCTCTACAATGAAAATTTTAAATCTTTAAAGAATGAGATAGAGGAAAACACCAGGAGATGGAAGGACTTACTGTGCTCATGGATTGATAAAATTAATATTGTGAAAATGACAATCCTACAAAAAGCAATCTGTAGATTCAATGTAATGCCAATCAAAGTCCCCATGACATTCTTCACAGGGCTGGAAAAAAAATCCTAAAATTCATATGAAATCACAAAAGACTCTGGATAGCCAAAGCAATCTTGGGCAAAAAGAGCAATGCTGCGGGGGGGACCACCATTACCAGATCTTAAACTATATTACAGAGCTGTAGTCATAAAACAGCTTCGTACTGGCTATGGTCAAGAGAATAAAGGACCCCAAATGCTGGTGAGGATGTAGCAAAAAGGAAACACTCATTCACTGCTGGTGGGAATGCAAACTTGTGCAACCACTATGGAAAGTAGTGTGGAGAACTCTTTAAAAACTAAAAATGAGGGGGCTGGCTGGAGAGATGGCTTAGCAGTTAAGAGCACTGACTGCTCTTGCAGAGGACCAGGGTTCAAGTCTCAGCACCCACATGATGGCTAACAACTGTCCATAATTCCAGTTCAAGGGGATCCAACACCCTCTTCTGACCTCTGTGGGCAAGGCATGACATGGGTGCATTGATACACCTGCAGGCATAATTCATACACATAAATTAAAAATAACAAATAAATAAATTTTTTAAAACTGAAAATGAATCTACCATATGATCTGGTTTTACCACTCCTTGTCATATACCCAAAGAATTCATCCTACAGCAGAGATACCCGCACATTCATGTTTGTTGCTGTTCTTTTCACAATAGCTAAGAAATGGAAACAGCTTAAATGTCTCTCAACTGACAAATGAATAATGAAAATGAGGTACATTTACACAGTGAGTTCTACTCAGCATTAAGATGAAATCATGAAATTTTCAGATAAATGGATGAACTAGAAACTCTTATACTAAGTGAAGTAACACAGACTCAGAAAAGCAAGTGACGTATGTTCTCCCTCATTTGTAGATCTTAGCACCAATCCCTTATATGTGAGTATGTATCCTTATGTAGCAGCAGGAGTCAGGAAAATGGAAAGGAAGCATGGAGGTAAAGGGAAGGAAAGAGCCCAAGAGAAGGGGATATTAGGGAACAGATGTTACCAAGGGGGAAATGGGGACATTTAACTGGGAAAGAAGGAGGGAAGGACATGCAGGGAGCTGCACGAGTAAAGGGGAAGAAGGAACTCAAGAGAGGGGGGATAATAAGAGACAGGTATTACCAAGGGAAAAATGGGGGGGCACTCAAACGGAGGAGGGAGGAGACAGGTTCGACAGGGAGAGAAAGAGGAGAGATAAATAAACTTGGGTGGTGTAAAAAGCCAGAGGGAAATGTATTAACTCAAAAACCCCTGAAAAATACACATACACTGAACATGAGTGCATGTGTACACCTGAAGGCTATGTAGCAAGGAGCCCAGTGCCAGACAAGAGAAACCTCCCTTTGCGTTGTTGGTCAGGGTAGTCCAAGAGGCCCCCAAAATAGCACAGGCTATTGCCACAACCCCTGATTAACGTGAAGGTAAGACCCTATTGCTGAAGACAGGACATACTTCAGATGCAGGACTTGAAGCAGTGGAGTTGGAACTAACTTGGAAGCCTTCTTCCTGAAGACTAGCTCTCATAGTTCTAGAGGATACTATGCAACATTCTAAGGGAGAAAAATCAATCAATGGGCCAACCCAGCTTCAAAGCCTAATACCCACAACAGCTGGCACAGCAAACTGTCCCTACTGGTTCAGTAGTGGCACTTTTATCTATGGGGTAATCAGCAACTATATAATTGGACTTAAAACCCTCTTGATAGGCAGGAGCTCAGTGGGTGGCACTGTAAAT